CTCTTCTTTTGGGAGGTCCCTCCACAGCCCAGAAAAAAATACTCCATATTTCCTGCCATATTTCACATCTTTGTCATGGGATGTCAGCTGCACATTTGTGTCTTTTCTCAGGCAGACTATGACTCACTCTGCTAGGATCACCTCTTCTTCATCTTTTCAGTCCCCACCCATAGCAAAACGTTTTTCACCAAATGACCTCTGTCTGAGTGAAAATGAAAAGGAACTGGATCACATCTTTTATTCTTAAAAAACTGTTCTATTTGGACCATCTGAGCAGCTCCCACCAGGAAATTAAGGAATGGGAGGAGATCTTGAGGTGGACTTAGGCTCCAGCAGGGACCCACGACACGGGAAATAACTGGAGATACATGGCCACCTCCGTCTTCAAGCTCTTGTTTCCTGAGAAACAAGGAGAATCAGGCTGAGAAGGCCTGTAGGCATGTAGGCCAAGAGGGAGTCTGCCTCCCCTGCAGGAGCATGTGCTGGCTCCCCACACTGGCTGGAGGCACAGACACAGCAGTGCTGGGAGGCCTGGCAGGTTCCTGGGCTGCTCTCTGATGCTGAGAAGGACAGACAAACTGGTCTACACCCCTGTCCCTTCCTTTCCCATCATCCTCTTCTCAGTTTCCTTCCCTCTCAACTTCACTATGAGAAAAAATTGCAATAGTTTATTCCACATGTCTCAAGTGTGCTAGGATTCTCAATGAATTCCACTCATAAACACAACAGCGCACTGCATTGGTACAGTCCATTATTGTTCTTCTTAGCGTGTTTCAGGCACCAGCACCTTTGCGTCACTCAGAAGAAACTTGCCTCAGGTCCCTGCTACAAGTGATTCTCTTTCCACAACTCCATTTTTTCACAACAATGTGTAGAGCAATACAATGAGGGTTTATTCAGTTCAGGCATTTGAGGAGACAATAACGCAGCCAAGATAGAGCTTCAGGGTGAGGAGGACAAAGAAGAGGACCAAGGGGTGCAGGTGAATAAAGAAATAAAGATTGAGAAGCAGAAGGTGCAGGTTATGCTGCCAGCTGTGGCAGGCTCGCTTCCACCTCATCAGCAATATGATGTCCTCGAGAAAGCACAGGCCACAGGCTCAGCAAACCAGCCACGAGGTAGAAGTCATTCTGCCAGCACTCCTGACACATGCTTCACGCTCAACCCACTTGAACTCTGAATCCCAGTCCCCACGTTGGAAAATGGAGGAAATCCTAATATTTGGACTCTCCCATTTAAAAACATATTTGTGAGAAGCATATAAAAATAATTTATAAGTTGCAAGTGCACTTCACTCATTGGCTACTGTTCATTCACTACAAGGGCTCAGGAAGAAAGCCCAGTTGATGCAGGACTTTCCTCAGAGATGATTTTACCTCCTTGTTCCTGAGGCTGTAGATCAAGGGGTTCAGCATGGGGGTGACCAGGTTATTCAGAACCTGAACCATTGCATCCAGCCAGGGGCTTGGCGTTGGCCTTAAGTAGATGAAGATCACTGGCATGTAGAAAAGTAGAATGGCAGTGAGGTGGGCGCTGCAGGTGGAGAAGGCATGGCGTTGGCCCTCGGCGGAGCGGATCTGCAGGATGGAGTAGATGATGTGGCTGTAGGAGGTGAGGATGAGAAGAAAGCAGCTGAGGGGCATGAGGCCCACACTGATGAACCCCACCATCTCCAGGGCTGCGGTGTCCGCACAAGCCAGCTTCAGCATCACGGGGATGTCACAGAAGAAGTAGTCCACCTCATTGGGGCCACAGTAGGGTAACTGGAAGGTGAGAGTGGTGAGAAAGGTGGCCTGAACACAGCCAAAAAACGAGGTCCCCGAGGCCAGGATGGCACACACCCTGGGGCTCATGATCACCTGGTAGCGTAGAGGGTGACAGATGGCCACAAAGCGGTCATAGGCCATCACCGTGTACAGGAAGCACTCGGTGCAGCCCAGGAAGTGGTAAAAGAAGAGCTGGGACACGCAGCCGGCATAGGAGATGGCTCGGCTGTACCCTGAGAGGTAGACGAGCATCTTGGGGGAGCTCACAGAAGGGAAGAAGATGTCACACACAGACAGCTCACACAGGAAGAAGTACATGGGGGTGTGCAGTCGGGCGGAGGAGGCGATGGCCAGCAGGATGAGCAGGTTGCCCACAAGAGTGAAGACGTAGAAGGTCAAAAACAGGGCAAGGAGCATGCC